GCTGGCGCTGGGCCTCAGAGCAGCCAGCTGCCGGGGAGATAAGGGCCCCCCACGGGCGGGGTGAGTTCCCGAGGGTCCCATGGGGCCCGGCTGTGCTCAGCCCCGCAGCCCCTTCCCCGGGCAGGAGCCCGCCGTGTGCCAGCCGCGAGGGTCCTCTCGGCGCGCCGGGGCTCAGCGCGGAGGGAGCTGAGGAAAAGGTAAGAAAGCAGGCTGCACTGGGACCCTCTTAGAAACAGTGAGTGCTAAGGTATTTCTTTAAATTCAGACTTAGAAATACCAAGCGCTGGAGAAAGGGCTGCTGCAGCAGGACCAGCCTAATCCCTGCGGTCACCAAAGAGCCAGCGTTGTTGGAAGTGTTCCCTTGACTCTTTTTACCCCTGCCACACACGTGAGCCCCGTTTCACGCACAAGGGTGTCTTGCGGGCATCGGTGCAGAGAGCGGCCAGGACTGCCCTGACTCGCATCTCTCCTCAGCTGACATATACGACAAGACGGCGTCAGAGCTCAAGAAGCAGGGATACGACTGCGAGTGCTTGGGGGGCGGCAGGATCTCTCACCAGAGCGAGAAGAAGAAGATCCATGTTTACGGATACTCCGTGGTAAAGGAAAAGCTCTTGCTGAGGGAGGGGGGCAAAGAGATTTGCAGCAGCTGGAGGGAGATGCGTTCCCTTTGCTTTGCCAGCTAAGTGCAGTGCTAGCACGTTCTTCTCCTGTGTGACAACTATAAGTGTAACCTGTACACAATCTTAGTGCAAGACGGTGAAAATGCTGGCGTCTAGCATATACATGTCCAGCTTAGAGGCTGGAATTGTTGTGCAGGTGAGCAATCAGCTATTCCCCAAGCCTTGTGCCTCTCCCAGAGGCAGTCATAGCCCACTGTGACTTTTTGAGTACTGCTGGGTCTATCCTTGGCCTGAACGTGGGTACATCCGTATCAAGGGACCTTCTGCAGACACAGCTGCTCCTTCTTTTTGATGGCAGCAGTTGGAGCTGTGCAAATATCTGTACTGGTTGTGTTGCTTGTTTTGGTTAAAATGACACAGCACTCGCCTGAAGGCAAGAGTGCTCAGTGGAAACGCGGAGACTGCAGCCGAATGCCTGAAGTGCTGTGGGCATGTGGGTGTCGCCAAGGCTCAGCAGGTCTGGGAGTGCTTGTGGGAACCACACTGCCCCCCTGCACCTTCTTGGCTCTGAACCAGGCCCACCCTGGCCAGGCAAAGCTTGGTCTCCTTTCTGTGTCTCTCTCTGCTTTTCTTCTTTGCTGTGCCGCAGCTGAAGCTTTGCCTGGGTTCCTGACGGGGTGCAGATGAAGGCCACGAGAGGGTACCTCTGTGCCCCGAGGGTTAGCTCAGTTCTGGTTTTCCCAGCTCTGGTGCCCGTCAGAACAGTTCTGGGATGGTGGGGCATGTTGGCACTGTGCCCACTGTCTGGATGCTGTGCTGTCTAGCAGCTGGCAGCAGGCTGAGCTGTGTGCTGTGTGAGCTGGTGCCAGCAATTGATTGGCCAATTAATCTTTCATGGGTGCAGGATCAATGGTTACTTTCACTGCTATAGTCTCCTTGCAGAGCATCTAATTGCCCTGAGCTGTCCCCAAGGGTTTGTTAAGTTCCTGTACAGGTGGTGAGCACACCTCCTTTACTTTTGAATCCTCTCTTCTCTTCCAGGGCTTTGGGCGAGCAAATCACTCCGTGACTACAGAGAAGCTGAAAGCCAAGTATCCAGACTATGAGATCACTTGGGCAGATGAAGGCTACTAATTTGGTCTGACAAGGCAGCAGCCTTGGTGTCAGCCTGGAGCTGGTATGGCTGGTTTCTCCAGCTCAGTGTTTAGGGAAATGGCAGCAGGGTTCCCATGCTCAGCAGCATAATGGGCTCTGCTGGTTTTCTCTGTGCTGAACTCACAGCTCTGAGGAACTTCCATTCTCCTAGGGAGTTCACCCATCTCCACTTTCACTGGACTTCCTCTGTGCCACGGGCTCTGCCATCTCCCTGCCACGGCACAGCAAAGCCTAAGGGTGAAACCCTCACCTCGGTGAAGCTGATGGGAGCTCTGCCCTGGCCTTGCTTGTGGCAAGGGTTTGTCCTGCATATGTGTGGTGAGCATTAAACATGTTGGGCAGCACAGCTGGCCCTACTTGGTTGTTTGTGTGTGTGTTAATGGTTCAGTCTGCTTGTTCCTGCCGACCTAGGCAGTACTCTGGCCTGGCTGTGCATACTGTTCCTCCACAATGGGACTGAGCATCCCCCAGTTTTCCAGCTCTGTGCAGAGATGCCTGTTTGGAGGCCTAATGCCAGAGCTGGTCATATCTGAGGTGGTGACAGCGGTGTTTCAGGATTAGCCTTTGGAGGAGGTTGGGGTTGCGGGGACAGGTGGGGATGGCTGAAAACTGTCCTTGTCCTCCAACTTTGAGGATTGTCCAGGACACTGATGTCCAGAAGTGCTATCTGGAAAGAGGGAAATTGAGCAAGCTGGGTCCAGCTGGGAGGGAGCTGCTGGGAGAAAGCAGTGTGGTCCCCATGCCTGACAAAGGGAAGGGGCAGAGTTGGCATGCAGACTCTCTGGGCAGAAGGAGCACTGCGATGGTATCCCTTTATCTTCTGCCCCTAGCTCCTGGGAGTACAAGGGCTGAGCTGTTGGGGAGTGTGGTTTGGAAGAACATGCCCTGTTCGCACTAAGCAGGTTAGTGGTCAGTTCTACCCTGAGGTAGAACAGCATTGATTTCAACCCTCCAGAAAAGCAACGCTGGCTCCTGCTTTGCAATATTTCCCACCTCATATGTCTAGGGAGGCTCTTCTCCTTTGTAACTAATCTTTAGCTTGCCCTTCTGTGGTGAGGATGGCAAGGATGGGGAGCATGAGAGGCTATGAGTATCTGCTGGAGGCTTTACAGATAAGCGTTCACCTGGTGGGAGAGCTCAAAGGAGATATGCATGGGTGGGGTTGACTGGGCAGGTTGCTAGACCACTAACTCATACAAGGGTAAGTTTGGTGGGTACTCCCTTCCCAGGGGAACCTGGGGCCTGGCCTCAGCCCCCTATTTAGTTCTTGGGGTTGTGATTCTGCACGCATTAGGATGGGGGGTTATTGACTAATGTGAGACTGCAGATTGAGCTTCAGGACCAGTTTTTTGCAAGCCACACTCCCAGCTCCTTCCTCACCGCTTTGCGTGCTGTTCCCTTCCCTGCCTTCCTCAGGTGGCTGTTAGGGGAAGGGATCTGTGCTGCACAGAGAGGAGACAGCATCGTGGCCCGCTCTTTGGGGTGGGATAAGACTGCTGCTTCCCCATATACAGCTGTGGAACAGGGCCCTGCTCCTGTCTACTAGCAAGAATACCATAAATGACTGTAATGCCCTGGGAGAGCAGATCAGGTATTGATCCTCTCCTGGTCTTGGGGGTTACCTGGGCCCCTGGTGACCTCTGCTTCTTCTGTGCCCAGAGTTGTGCAGAGTTGGCAAGACTTGCTAAAGCTTAGCCCCTATGCCTGGTGTCCTGCTTCAAACTTCTTACATGCAGCTAGTAGAAGTGGGCAATGATGGAAGACGATGACCTCATGGGCTGGGGGTGTTCTTAGCTTTGTTGCAGGGCCTGCTGCCTAGCTGGTGGCTTGGGGTTGGACCTGTGTCCTCGGAGGCTGTCACTCACTGCCCTTCTGTCACTGGCGGTCATCGAAGGCTCCAGGCTCTCCCAAGGGCTGATGTTACACTTTGATCTGGGGCAGGAGTGCCTCCGCATGAGCTGCTTGCTGCTGCCACAAGATGAGAAAGATGGTGAGATGTAGTGCTGTGGTAGCTCTCGCAGCCCCCTCCTGGGCTTAGGCTAGCCTCTGAGCTCTGGCATCCTGTCTGCAAACTGGGGTCCAAAACGACCCTGATGGGGTGGGAAGCAGGTCGGGGGAGTGGGAAGCAAGCTGCAGCCCAAGGAGCAGGGACAGAGCCGCATGTCCTGGGGAGGAGGGTGCCCCAAACCCACCTCCAGCCCTGTAGGCTAGTGAAAGGGGAAGGAAGCCAGTGACTAAGCCCAGGTGCCCAGGACATGCACTAGGTCACGTTAGGCCCACTATAGATAAAATGGGTCTGCTGTGCCTAGCCTTTGTCAACCAAAATCCCCCTGGGTGTTGTACTAGCTCTCCTGGGCCTGGATAAATGTCAGTCAAGAGTCATGCATGTGCTCAGGTGTCTAACTTTGTGAATGGTGGATTGAGAACTGGCTGGGTGGCAGAGCTCAGAGGGTTGTGGTCAGTGGTGCAAAGTCTAGTTGGAGGCCTGTAGCTAGCGGTGTCCACCAGGGGTCAGTACTGGGTCCAGTCTTGTTCAATGTATTCATCAATGACCTGGAGGAAGGCACAGAGCGCACCCTCAGCAAGTTTGCTGATGATACTAAACTGGGAGGAGTGGCTGACACACCAGAAGACTGTGCTGCCCTTCAGAAGGACCTGGACAGGTTGGAGAGATGGGCAGAGGGGAACCTCATGAAGTTCAACGAAGGGAAGGGCAGGGTCCTGCACCTAGGCAAGAATAACCCCATGCAGCAGTACAGGTTGGGAGTTGACCTGCTGGAAAGCAGCTCTGCAGAGAAGGACCTGGGAGTCCTGGTGGACAAGTTGAGCATGAGCCAGCAGTGTGCCCTTGTGGCCAAGAAGGCCCATGGTATGCTGGGGTGCGTTAGGCAGAGTGTTGCCAGCAGGTGGAGGGAGGTGATCCTGCCCCTCTCCTCAGCCCTGGGGAGGCCTCCCCTGGAGTACTGTGTGCGCTTCTGGGCCCCCCAGCACAAGAGAGAGATGGCACTCCTGGAGAGAGTCCAGCGAAGGGCTTCAAAGACGATGAGGGGACTGGAGGATCTCTCCTATGAAGAAAGTCTGAGAGAGCAGGGCCTGTTGAGCCTGGAGAAGAGAAGACTGAGAAGGGAATCTCATCAATGTCTACAAGTATCTGAAGGGAGGATGCTGAGAGGATGGGGCCAGACTCTTCGTGGTGCCCAGCAACAGGACAAGAGGCAATGGGCAGAAACTGAAAGCTGGGAAGTTCCATCTGAACATGAGGAAAACCTTTTTTCCTGGGAGGGTGACAGAGCACTGGGACAGGTTGCCCCGAGAGGTAGTGGAGTCTCCTTCCCTGGAGATATTCAAAAGCCGCCTGGATGTGATCTGGAGAAATATGCTCTAGGTGACCCTGCTTGAGCAGGGAGTTTGGACTAGATGATCTCCAGAGGTCCCTTCCAACCTCAACCATTCTGTGATTCTGTGATTCTATGTTAGGCATCTAAACCTGGGAGGGCAGGAGATGAGTTTTATGTCAGTAGTATGGAGGAGGGTAGCTTCCTTGGTGGCTGGCTACCTTCATGTCAATGAATTGCTGAGTTTGGATGGCACCTGGAGATCATCTAGTACAACCCCTGCTCTAAGCAGGTTGCTCAGGAATGTATCCAGGTGGCTTTTGAATATTTGCATGGATTGAGACTTCACGTTATCCCTGAGCAGCTTGTTCCAGTGTTTGAGCACCCTCAAAGGAAGAAAGTCTTTTCTTATGTTTAAGTGGAATTCCATGTATTGCAAACTGTGCTCACTGCCTCTTGTCCTGTCATAGGGCACCACTGAGAAGAGTCTGGCTGTGACCCACCCTGCAATCAGGCATTTATACACATGGATGATATTCCCTGAGGCATCTCTTCTCGAGGCAAAACAGGCCCAGCTCTCTCAGCCTCTACTTGTATGAGAGATGCTCTAGTCCCTTAATCATCCTAGTAGCCCTTCGCTGGACTTGCTCCAGTAGCTCCATGTCTTTCTTGTATTGGGAGCCTAGAACTGGACACGGTACTCCAGGTGAGATCTCACTAGGGCTGAGTGGAAGGGAAGGATCACCTCTATTGACTTGCTGGCAGCACTCTTCCTAGTGCAGCCCAGGATACCATTGGCTGCCTTTGCTGCAAGGGCACGTTGCTGGCTTGTGGTCAGCTTGTCCACCAAGACTCACAGGACCTTCTCTGTGAAGCTGCTCTCCAGCTTGTACTGGTTGTGTGAGGTTTTTCCTCCCCAGGTGCAGGACTTTGCATTTCCCGTGGCTGTGCTTCATGAGTTTCCTATTGGCCTATTTTTCCAGCCTGTTGAGGACCCTCTGAGCAGTAGTGCAACCTTCTGGTGTATCAGTCTCTCCTCCCAGTTTTGTATTACCTGCACGCTTGCTGAGGGTGTACTCTATCCTATCATGCAACTAATTAACGAAGTGGCCCCAGTATTGGCCCCTGGGGGACACCACTAGTAGCTAGCTTCCAGCTGGACTTTGTGCCTCTGATCACAATCCTCTGAGCCGAGCAATTAGGCCAGTCTTCTGTTTACCTCCCAGGGAGGCCATGCAACAGCCGAGGAACTTGGCCTGTTCCTCCAAGCACAGGCTGTGTCTGGCGCTGCCTGGCAGAGTCATCCAGAAGCCAGCATCACCTTCCTCCCTGGCTGATGGCTTCGTGCTGCTACAGAAAACCCACTGCAAGAGGAGTGGCCAACTTGTGTCCTCAAACAGAAGAGGCCAAGGAAGGGTGCAGGGGGCCTCTGCTCGGCTGCCTAATTGCCTTGTACTGGCTCCTCTCCCCAAAATCCAAGAGACAGAGCTGGAGGCTTTCCTGGGAGCGCTGCCCCTTGCATGGTCATTTTGTTTGGGGGCAGGGTGCCAGCTACAGCTCCTGTCAGGGAGGTTTGAATTAAGGAGAGAGGAAGGCAGAGGAGCAGAGCAAAACATCTGCTAGGCAGCTGCATGCCATCTTCCCAGCATCAGAAAGTTTGGTGTGTGTGACTGGGCTAGAAGCACTCCCAAACAGAGACTTAGGTTTCTGACCAGCTTAGCAGACCTGAGCTAAGATCTTACCTGCAGGACTGGCCTTTGGGGAGGCTTGCACTGAGCCTGGACCCTTGCTGGTGGGCAGTGCCAGGCTCCAGCACACACCAGGCTTGGTTGGCCGCTCTGCATGGGGGCACAGGGTTCCTCACCTCGGCATGGCCTGACCCATGCCGGT